GACTAGTGGTGCCCCCAAAAGCTGCCAGCGCGTGATACTTTCGTAGGACGTTCCCGCGGTCGCGTGCGCCTTGCCGCGGAACTGCGCGCAAGATTCGCGCTTAGCGGGCAGGATCAACACCTCTCAGGCGACGCTTCTCTGGTATCCGGTCTCTCATCTGGATTGACGTTGTCAGTTACAAATTGCAATGCCGAGAGAAACTGCGCCATCGCAAAGATTTCTCTCGTCTCAAGATTGATAACGATGTGCAACATCCTCGTGGGCACAATGAAGTGCGACGTGTAACATTGTCACCTGGGTGATTTTCACTCGCATTCACTCGTTGTCACTCGGGTTGATTGAAATTCGATATTAGCAACTAAGCCACGCGAGAACAGCATATAGAAGAGAAGGAATAACTGATAGCTGGCAGCGATTGGAAATTGCAGACGAGATTACAAGACGAACGCCGGCGGTTTTCGAACGAGCAGCTGCGGCAACGTATCCAATATAGCAGCTGCGCAGCAGACGCGTTGTTTGCGTCTTTGCGCATCTTTCGTTTTCACTTTCCCCGATTCTCATAGGAATACCGAATATAGTCGTAACTATATAACTGTATAGTCGGGGACTACATAAGAAAGCACGGTTCCGACGGTACATACGCCCTCTATGAACAGGCGACATCTAGCGGCGCGCGTTACTGCTCGACAAATGAGCATCAGTCTCCCCCGCGTTGTGAGCAGTGCCTCGCGCGCACCGCTCCCCTCCCCTCTCACCCGCCTCTCACAGACGACAACCGATGAGGTTCGAAAACCAATTTGTCGTGTTTATGTGCAAGTGTCGTTTGCTCTTTCACTCAGCTGCCGCCCCTGCGGGATGCGATCTGGCTCGATATTGCCTTTTCGCGTCGGATTTCCCGCGGGAGCAGCAGACGATGATTGCGTGCGCGTCGCGCGACACCTGGCGGCTTCTCGTTTCCACAGCCAGCCGTAAACCGATAACAATATACACACATATATTGCTCATGGTATCAAGCGGTCTCCTCTACCTCCTCCTTCCTGCACCTCCTCTCCTCCTCCTCTCCTCCTCTCCTCCTCCTCCTCTATTTTCTCCCCCTTCTCCTCCTCCACCACCTTCTCCCCACATTTTCCCCCTCCTCCTCCTCCACCTCCTCTCCTCCTCCTCCCCCAGCTCCTCTCCTCCTCCTCCACCACCTTCTCCCCTCCTCCTCCACCACCTGGTCCTCCGCTACCTCCTCCCTTCTCTACCTCCTCCTCCTCCACCTTCTCCACTCCTCCCCCTCCTTCTCCACCACCTTCTCCCCACGTTCTCCCCCTCCTCCTCCTCTACCTCTTCTCCTCCTCCTCCTCCTCCTCCTTCACCTCCTCTCCTCCTCTCATCCTCTTCCCCGCCTCCTCCACCTTCTCCCCCTCCTCCTCCGTCTCCTCCACCTTCTCCCCCTCCTCCTCCGTCACCTTCTCCCCACGTTCTACCCCTCCTCCTCCTCCTCTACCCCTCTCCTCCTCCTCTTCCTCCTCCTCTCATCCTCTCCTCCTCCTCCACCTTCTCCCCCTTCCCCCTCCTCCACCACCTTCTCCCCCTCCTCCTCCTTCGCCACCTTCTCCCCGCGTTCTCCCCCTCCTCCTCCTCCACCTCCTCTCCTCCTCTCCTCCTCCTCCTTCTCCTCCTCCTCCACCTCCTCTCCGTCTCTCCTCCTCTTCATCCACCTTCTCCCCCTCTTCCTCCTCCTCCACCTTCTTCCCCTCCTCATCCTCCTCCTCCACCACCTTCTCCCCACCTTCTCCCCCTCCTCCTCCTCCACCACCTTCTTCTCTCCTCCTCGACCTCCTCCCTGTATCACTGTTCAACAATGAATAATAAACAACAAATTGAGTAAATGTCCGGGGGGTGATTGTCCGGGGGGTAAATGTCCGGCGGGTAAATGTCCGGGGAGCAATTGTCCGGGGGGTAATGTCCGGGGGTATATTGTCCGGGGTGTGATTGTCCCGGGGTAAATGTCCGAGGGGTAAATGTCCGGGTGGGTAATTGTCGCGGGGGGTAAATGTCCGGCGGGGTAATTGTCCCGGGGGCGTAAAATGTCCGGGGGGGGTAAAGTCGGCGGGGGGGTAATTATCGGGGGGTGATTGTCCGGGGGTATTGTCCGAAGCGGTGAATACATGTGGGGTCAATTGTCCGCGGGGGCGATTGCTACCGGGGGAGTATTCTGTCCCTAGAACCATTGCTCATATACGTATATATATATATATATCGTGTATATATATATGTATACATATATATATATATATATCGTGTATATATATTATACATATATGTATACATGTTGTATATATTGTTCTCAGGTCATGAAGATACGCGAAAAAATACTCACGTGTCTACGATCTTAATGTAGGTTACGTGTGCAGTGAACGATGAAAGCTATTGCACGCTCACATTACGGACATCCTAGAGCAATGGAGGCTGTCGCTACTTTTGCATGCAACCTCATTAGTGCGAAATCAACCGAGAGGCTATTGTAGTCGAAAAATACGACCACTGCGACCCTGGCGAGTGCTTTGATTATCCCACCGCAGAACAGGACACCAAACATACACGAAACGCGGTATGCAGCTGTACTGTTGTCGTTTATTTCTATTTGAATATCGGTTATGTGGATTGCCCGCCACTGTCGCAGATGCGCCCGCCGCGTGGAAGCGAAATGTGCGCTAGAAAGCAACGCTGGTTCTACAATGGCGATACATTACATTATTCACGCCTATTAGGAGATGTGTAACTCATAATTAATCGCTGTTCCATGCGCCAGATGCGCACTACGTGCGATGGAAGGAGGCGAGGTGTGCATATATGCGTGCGTGCGTGCGTGATTAAGTCTGGGGGATGGATGCATGCGCGCGTATGTGTGTGAGACAGAAAGAAAAATAACGAGAGAGCGAGAAATTAAAAGCGCGCGTGAGAGTGAAAGAGAAAGATAACGTGAAAGATGCGAGCAAAGAGAGAGATATAGAGAGAGAGCGAGAGAGAGAAGGCGCGAAAAGAGAGATGAGATTATAGTAAAGCAGAGAGAGAGCAGAGAAAGCAGTAGAGAGAGAGAGAAACGAGAGAGAGAGAAGAGAAAAAAAAGAGAGAAAAGAGAGAGAGAGAGAGAAAAGAGAGAGAGAGAGAGAGAAAAAGAAGAGAGCAAGAAAAGAAAGAGAGAGAGAGAGAGAAGAGGACGCAGAGAGAGAGAAAGAGAGAGAGGCGAGAGCGAGAGCGAGGGATGAAGAGAGGGAATTAAGTTGGGGAAAACGAGACCGAGAGCGGCAGACGTGCACGAGAGAGTAGTAACGCATAGAAACAAAATGGATTTACCGCGCCATGCCCACATTTCATACACAAAAAACCCACTTTTTACCACGCTTCCTTTTTGCAGCACACCGTCAGCTGATTGCCTACTGGTATTAACACAACCAGTGCATCGTTCACTGGTGCAAAAACCTCAGAAGAGAAAACCAGAAGAAACCCTCGTCTTCGTCGGCCATGACGGATCCGGAGGGCGGAAGTAATTTGAAGTGCCAATCGTATTAAACATGGCAGGTACGTCGGCATTAACCGTGCAGGTACGTCGCATTAAGCGTGCAGATACGTCTCATTAAGCGTGCAGGTACGTCTCATTAAGCGTGCAGGTACGTCTCATTAGCGTGCAGGTACGTCATTAAGCGTCAAGTACGTCTCATTAAGCGTGCAGGTACGTCATAAGTAAGCGTGCAGTACGTGCGTATTAAGTGTGCAGGTACGGGAGTCGCATTAAAGCGTACAGGTACGTTCGTATTAAAGGCATGCAGGTACGTCGTTATTAAGCAGTGCAGGTACGGTCGCATTATAACCGTGGAGGCTACGATCATAGTAAGTGTGGCAGGATACGTCCGTATATAAGTGTGCAGGTACGTCGCATTTAAAGGCGTGCCAGTTATGCAGTGTACGTCTCATTAGCGTGCAGTGTACGTCGCAATTAAGGCGTGAGGTCGCGTATTAAGCGTACATCTACGTCGTATTAAGCGTGCATGCGTACGTCGCATTAACCGTGCAGGTGTCTCAATTAAGCGTGAAAGGTACGTCTCGATTAAGGGCGTGCAGTACGTCGTATTAAGCGTGCAGGTACGTCGCATTAAGCGTGCAGGTACGTCATAGTAAGTGTGCAGGTACGTCGTATTAAGTGTGCAGGTACGTCGCATTAAGCGTGCAGGTACGTCGTATTAAGCATGCAGGTACGTCGTATTAAGCATGCAGGTACATCGTATTAGCAGCAGGTAGCGTCGTATTAACGTGGCCAGGTACGTCGTATTAAGCGTAAATGTACGTCGTATTAAGCGTGCAGGTACATCGTATTAAGCATGCAGGTACGTCGTATTAAGCGTGCAGGTACGTCGTATTAAGCATGCAGGTACATCGTATTAAAGCAATGCAGGTAACGTTCGTATAAGCGTGCAGGGTACGTCGTATAAGCGTATGTACGTCGTATTAAGCGTGCAGGTACGTCGTATTAAGCATGCAGGTACGTCGTATTAAGCATGCAGGTACGTCGTATTAAGCATGCAGGTGCGTCGTATTAAGCATGCAGGTGCATCGTATTAAGCACGCAGGTACGTCGTATTAAGCATGCAGGTTAACGTCGTCATTGAATGCAATGGCAGCGTACGCGGTCGCATTAAGCGTACATGTACCTCGTATTAAGCATGCATGTACGTCGTATTAAGCATGCAGGTACGTCGTATTAAGCATGCAGGTATGTCGTATTAAGCTGGGTTAAGCCTTACCTGGCGACGTCGGAGCCCCAGTCTGGCGCTATGCTGCCTGAGCGTGTGCATATCTAGGTGTTCCATTATCAGCACGGCACCACTTTGCGGATTATCCAACACCTGTGTGTGTGACGCAGAGAGAGAAAGCCATATATATGTGAGAAATAAAGAGAGAGAGAGAGAGAGAGAGAGAGAGAGACAGAGCGAACGAGAGCGATAGAGGGAGATAGAGGGGATGAAAGCGAGAGTGAGTGGGTGAGAGAGCAAGAGTGAGTGAGTGAGGGAGAGAGAGAGAGAGAGAGAGAGAGGGAAAGAGAGAGAGAGAGAGAGAGAGAGAGAGAGCGAACGAGATAGATAGAAGGAGAAAGAGGGGATGAAAGCGAGAGTGAGTGGGTGAGAGAGCAAGGGTGAATGTTTGAGGGAGAAAGAGAGAGAGAGAGAGAGAGAGAGAGAGAGAAGAGAGAGGAGAGAGAGAGAAGTGAGAGAGAGAGAGAGAGAAGAGAGAGAGACAGAGAGAGAGAGAGAGAGAGAGAGAGAGAGAGGGGAGCGAGAGAGAGAAGAGAGAGAGAGAGAGAGAGAGAGGGGGACAGCGAGAGAGATGAGAGAGAGAGAGAGAGAGAGAGAGAGAGAGAAGAGAAGAGAGAGAGAGAGAAGAAGAGCAGAGAAAGGGGAAAGGGATCAGGGAAGCTAGCCTCATAATACAATGGCTGTATGTCTAGTTAGCTTTTTATGATTTTTGTTTTTTGGATGTATTAATAAATTACTGGGCTTGCCATGTCTGCTATGAAATATTGCTCGAAATATTACAGACTTCATGAGATTCGAAATGGCAACTGAAGGTACTAAAACACACACTGTCTCTCTCTCTGTCTCTCCTACCTTAATTGGTTTCGGCACTCTAACGGTGTTCGTGGCCTGCATCGCAAAAAGCCCTGCATACTCTCCGTCGAACAGCCTTCTCGCCTGCAAACAGGAAAGGTAATGTATACTGTGTATATAGGCAGACGCTCGCATACACACGCACGCGCGCACGCACTGCACACACACATACACACAGACGCACGCACGCACGAACGCACACACACACGCACACACGCACACACACACACACACACGTCGACACACACACACGCGCACGCACGCACGCACACACGCACGCACGCACGCACGCACACACACATACACGCACGTCCACGCGGCTTTGCTTTTACCTGCGTCTATACAAACGCAAAGTGAGTGTGTGATCAGATATGTACAAAACGCGTGCTATCGATGCGTATACATCACATACTGAAATAGTAGAGACGTCGAGAAGTTTTACTCGATCTTACCGCCTTCCGCACTCATCACTAAGTCACGGTAGGAAAAACACAACTACGGTGCTGCCATCTATATTTGTCAGCGAATAATTGAATTATGGCGTATAGCAGCTTCCGTTGCGGGGGAGCAAAAGATCCGTCTGTTGCGCTCTCTTCCGATTAAATATTTCTTTCAGATTGGATTTGAATGAATTTCAGCTGACCGAGTAAACGGAATTCTGTTACGAGTTCCCGTCTGAGTGGTTCGCAAGCTGAGACGAGACTGGCAGCCGGCACGTCGGCATATTTCTTTGATGTTGCACCACGTGACTAGTTCAACAGACAGCCACGTGACGGACGGAATTGTTAGAATTATGATTTCGACGGAAAATTCCGAGTTGTTTAGGCTAATCAGAGCTGCCACCCACACACACACACACACACACACACACACACATACACACACACACACACACACACACACACACACACACACACACACACACACACACACACACACACACACACACACACGCGCCGAGTTTGCTTGCGTGGAATGTCACCTAAATCACAATGATGACGAAAGGCTGAAGGAAGAGGGAGGCGAGGAGGAGGAGGCGGGAAGTGGGGTATAGCGAAAGGAGGCAGAGGGATGGAGGAGGTGAGCCGGAGGTGGAGAGGGGGAGGCCAGGAGGAGGAAGAGGTGGGGCAGGAGGAGGAGAGTAGGCGGGCAGAGGCGGAGCCGGAGGAGGAGGAGGAGGCAGGAGGGAGGAGGAGGAGGAGGAAAGTAGTAGTAGGAGGAGAGGGTGGAGGAGGAGGGATAAAAAGAGGTGAAACAGGAGGAGGAGGGAGAGGATGAGGTGGAGGGGGAGGGGAGGAGAAGAAGATAGCGGATGAAGAGGCATAGAGAACGCAAAAAGAATAGAAGAAGAAGGAGGCGAAGATTTAGCAGCGGGCAAAACAGGCAAAGAAAGAACGATATTAAAAGGAATGAGAAGAAGAATAGGACAAGGAAAAGCATGAGGAGATGGAGGAGGAGGAGGGGAATGAGAGGAGGAGAAACTTGGGTTGCCGCTTGCAGTACACGTTTTCGCATCTTCATCAGAGAGCCTCGATCTCTATTCACCACACCGCACCACCACCTACACAGCAGCTCTTCCCCATGGCTTGCCAGAAAACTACAGAACAGCTGTGTAAAGAAGAGCTAGAGTTCCCATTACGCGCGATCCAATCAGATGTAATTGGGTGCGTGGGATCTCCACGCGGAAGCGTATAAAAAACACATTTGTCTGATAGCACGGCGATAGAGAGAGAGAGAGAGAGAGAGAGAGAGAGAGAGAGAGAGAGAGAGAGAGAGAGAGAGAGAGAGAGAGAGAGAGAGAAAGAGAGAGAAAAGAGGAGGGGATAGAGAGAGGGAGAGAGAGGGAGAGAGTATCAGATCAGAAAGCGGCGCGCGCTTCGATGATAGGAAAGAGATAGATTTGATAAGATAGATATGATGAGAGATAGATAGATTAGATAGACAGATAGATAGATAGATAGATAGATAGACGATAGATAGAAGATAGTAGATAGATAGAAGATAGATGATATAATAGATAGACATAGATAAATAGTAGATAGATAGATAGATAGATAGAAGATAGATAGCAGAGATAGCATAGCAGAGATGATAGATAGATAAATAGATGGTTTATATATATAATATATATATATATATAATATATATAGAGAGAGAGATCACATAGATAAAAGAGAGGAGAGAGAAAGAGAGAGGGGGAGAGCGGGAGGAGGGATGGAGATAGAGGTGTGAGAGTAGTGGGAGAGAGAGAGCAGATAGAGCGAGGGAGCAGAGGGACGAGAGTAAGAGAGAGTAGAGAGAGATGAAGAGAGAGAGAGAGAGAAAGAGAGAGGGCGAGACAGCGAGAGAGAGAGAGGGACGAGGAGAGAGAGAGAGAGAGAGAGAGAGAGAAGAGAGAGAGAGTAGAAGAGAGAGATAGAGAGAGAGATAGAGATAGAAGAAGACGAGAAAAGAGAGAGAGAGAGAGCGCGAGAGCGCGCGCAGAGTGGATTGCGTCGTTCACGCGTTGATCGCCACCCGCAATTATTTACCGTTCACCGATTCTCCACAAACCAGCCGATCGAATTGTGTGCCTTTTATATTCCCAGCAGGGAGGAAGGTTCGACCACTGTTTGATGTTGTCTGTAGTTGGCTGGGTAAAGCCAGATGGGTGTGAGGTTTCATTTCTGCTTCATGCTGTGTATAGTAGTGCAGATGGCGAGCAGGGAGGGAGGCTCAACCCCCTCGTCTATCTCTCTCTCTCTCTCGCTCGCTATCTCGCTTTCTCTCTCTCTCTCGCTCACGATCTCGCTCTCTCTCTCTCTCTCT